CATGTGGTCCTCCCACTTGGAAATGACCCTTTGGAAATGAGTATCCTCAGTCCCACGGCCTCACTCCCACGCTCTCTGCTGACTCCCCGCCCTTCTCTGCAACACGCCCTGAACGTCTCTGCTCTGATGCCTCACTTGACCTCAACGGGTCAACAGCCAAATACATTCCCCACTCCTTTGCTTTCTCTGTCACCAAAACTCCAATTTCCTTTAACGGGAGGAGCTTCCAGGGTGTGAACATGTGGTCTCCCTCCTAACCGATCCTTTCCTTCTTCTGACTTGACTTCCCAGGGCCCAGCAGAGAGTGTGGACTTCTAGAAGCAAGAGACTGTGCTCCTTCTCCATTGGAAGTGTGCGCCAAGGGTTCACACAGAGTAGCACCCTACGTGTTTCAAGGCACCTGCTGAATGAACTGTGTCTTCTTCCAGGTCCAGCGGCCCCTGGACCGACTCGGGAGACATAGTGAGATGCTTCCGTCGTGCCCGCCACTCTGATCCCTTCTCTTCCCAGCTCACAGCATCTGCACATTGCATGTGTTGGTGTGTGTGCACTCACCCACATGTGTAAGTTTTCCCATAAAGACTGTGATCCTTTGCACACATGCTTAGTCACTCAGTCATGTCCGACTCTCTGTGACCCCATGGATTATAGCCCACCAGGCTCCTCCATCCATGAGATTCTCCAGGCAAGAATACTGGAGTGGATTGTCATTTACTTCTCCAGGGGATTTTCCCAACCCAGGGATCAAACCTAGGTCTCCTGTATTGCAGGTGGATTCTTTCCCAGTTGAGCCAGAAGTGAAGCCCTTTATATCTACATAATTGATTTCCACACCAGGCGCAGCCTTTCGTGAACTGATCAGAACTTTGCTCTTGATAACCACCCTTCAGCAGTCTGCCACCTGTCTGCGTGGGGTGGTACTTGCTCCTTTGTCAAAGACACTGATCCACCTGTTAGATGATAAGGACAGGATCTGAGGGCATCACTAGGTGTCCCTTTCCTGGCTGGCATGGATGCGCTGGACCCATCCTTGATTCTGTCTGATGATGTGCTGAGATTCACATCCTGTAGGAACAGAGGGTTTGCTGAAAGCTGATGAGGTGTGGACACCCCCCTCTACCCTGTGACTAGATCTGTGCCATTGATGGGGGGGCCATTGCAATCCACTATGCGTGGAGAAGGACCTCAAGGCCAGCTTCTGTGGGTCCAGGGGCCGCCCAGCCCCTTCGTTCTGCTGTCTGCTGGAGCCATTCTCAGCAACCAAATGTGCATGCTCACAGCTTCCTAAAGCCTCTACGCTTGCCCGCCCCCCTTTTACTGGAGGATAGTCAATTTACAATGCTGTGTTCATTTCAGGCATACAGCGAGGTGAATCACTTACATCTGTTCTTTTTCAGATTCTTTTCCCTGATAAGCTACCCCAAAACATTGAGCTGAGTTCCCTGTGCTAAACAGTAGGTCCTCGTAGGTTATCTGCTTTATACACAGTGCTGTGTGTGTGTGTTAATCCCAAGCAGCTAATTTACCCCCTTCCCCTTTAGTGACCATGAGCTTATTGTCTGCGTCTATGAGTATATTTCTGTCTGGTAAGTAACTTCACTTGTATCGACAGAGGGATGGATAAGAAGATGTGGTATACACACACAGTGGAATACTACCCAGTCATAAAAAGAATGAAATAATGCCATTTATAGCAACACAGATGCACCTGGAGATGACCACACCAAATGAAGTAAGACAGAGAAAATTACCATACGATATCACTTATATGTGGAAGCTAAAACAAACCAAAAAGATACCTCTGTGCTTTTCTTCAATCCAATCAGCCTGTTGGGAAGGCTGGGGCCCCCTGACCCCAGCCCCTCTGCCTGACCGGAGTCCACCCCCTCACCCTCTCCCTCCAGATGCTGACCGTACCCAGCAGCGCTGTGTTACTTCAAGCAGACTCCATGCGTGCACATCCTCTGCTCCAGGGTCTGTGAAAGAGGCTGGTGAGCCTGGATCCCAGTGCTGCTGTGAGATGAAACGGAATACTGTATAGAAAGCACGTACATCAACGTCCACAGTGTAGAAGTTCAGGAAGACTTAGTGTGGGGCCTCCCTGGTGGTCCAGGGCGTAAGAATCCGCTTTTGCAATGGAGGGGACGCAGGTTCAATCCCTGGCAGCGGAACTAAGATCCCGCATGCTGCAGGGTGACCAAGCCGGCTCGCTGCACCTAGAGAGACTGCACACTGCAACGAAAGAGACGGCATGATACCCCGCAGACAAGTGCGCCCCGACTAAGGCCCGACGCAGCCAAACAAATAAATTGACAAAGGAAGGGTTAGCAATTAGGCCTTTTCCTACCTTTCTGCAAAGTGATTACGACTACTGCCTATGAGGGCCATTGCTGATAAAGCATCCGTTTACTTATAGCATCGATTTTCTATTATCATGAACGCTCCTGAAAGCAGAACTCTCCTGTGTCTATTTGTTCGGGGTTTTCAAGAGCTCCCTGCCTCACTAGATTAGAAGTTCCTTGGACACAGGAATTGAAAGCATTCTATGGTCCCTGAGATATAGAGCACAGTGCTTTAATGGAGCCTCCAGAATTCCAGCCTTTATATGTGAGATGGTACCAGCTGACATCATCGTGTATACCAGCTACAGTCAAAGCAGTGGTTTTTCCCGTCGTCATGTATAGATGTTACAGCTGGACCATAAAGAAGGCTGAGCACCAAAGAATTGATGCCTTTGAACTGAGGTCCTGGAGAAGACTCTTGAGAGTCCCTTGGACTGCAAAGAGATCCAACCAGTCCATCCTAAAGGAAATCAGCCCTGAATATTCATTGGAAGGACTGATGTTGAAGGTGGAGCTCCAATAGTTTGGCCACCTGATGCAAAGAGCCGACTCACTGGAAAAGATCCTGATGCTGGGAAAGATTGAGGGCAGGAGGAGAAGGGGGCAACAGAGGATGAGATGGCTAGAAGGCATCACCAACTCAGTGGACATGAGTTTGAGCAAGCTCCGGGAGATAGTAAAGGACAGGGATGCCTGGTGGGCTGCAATCCATGGGGTCACAGAGTCAGACAAGACCTAGCAGCTGAACAACAACAACATGTACCAACTAAAACATAGTAAATACACAGCGAGAGTGCGCAGTCTCCTCAGTCGTGTCTGACTCTTTGCGAACTCGTGGACTGTAGCCCACCAGGATTCCCTGACCATGGGGTTCTCCAGGCAAGGATACTGCAGTGGGCTGCCATTGCCTACTCCAGGGGATCCTCCTGACCCAGGGATCAAACCTGCATTTCCTGTGGCTCCTGCATTGCAGGCACATTCTTTACCACTGAGCCACCAGGGAAGCTATTCTGTAAAGTTTGAGAAACTATGGAGAAGTGTGGATAATAAAACACAAGTTACTTATATTCTGTAACTCAGTACTGTAGATCTAGCAAGATATATATATATATATAATCTTTATATAGTTTATATAATTTGTATTATATATTTGTACATCTGCATTGTCATTACATTTAATAATATATTTACAAAATATATAAAATTGTATGTCTATAATTATTTACATTTTACAGAATAAATTGTTATTTTTATAATCATAATGAGAGAGTACATCTTATGAAATGGCCTGGAAACACATGAAATTCACTGATTTGATCTTTTAATTTCTTGTGTGTTGATTCTGCATGTCAGAGCCTAGCTGTGTGGTATGACCAACTCTCTACTTGCAGATGAAAAGATGGAGACACAGCAGAGTGAAATGAAATGCCTCAGACATAGATTTGGATAAATAAATGTTGATTTGCCAGCACACATGTTGACAATGCCAAAAAGAAAAAAGAACGCGCAGCAGGCGCGTGGGCCTCTGATGCCGTCCTCCCGCATCTCAGGGCTGTCGAGGTGTCCAGCGGGGCCGATAGCTGGCCCGGCCCTGACGGGGAGGGAGACAGGTCATTAATCTTGCTTAGGACTGGCTCTGCCGACACAGGCCCTCACAGAGCACTTTGCCCTGTGGACACAGAGGTCCTCTGGATGCCAAAGAGAGAGTCCAGCACTTAGACAATTTAAATCATTGAAAACGAAATGATGCTTACCAAAGGGGAAACACGGGGGAGGGATACCTGAGGAGTATGGGACTGACGTGCCCACAGATACTGTATATAGAATAGATGACCAACAAGGGCCTGTTGTATCGCACAGGGAACTGTGCTCAATACTCTGTGATGACCTCTATAGGCAGGAACCTGAAAAAGAATGGCTGTGTGTGCGCATAACTGGGCCACTGTGCCGTGCACCAGAAACATGGCACTGTGAGTCAGCCACACTCCAAGAAGATTAAAAAAACTAAAAAGCCATGTAAAGCTAACATATTTATGCATTTCTGCAGAGGGACAGCGCGTACATTCTTTTGAAAGCCTTTGCTCCTGAGCGCAGGTGTCTCGCCAGCCTCAGGCTTCCTCAGGACGAATTTGGGGAGCTGTCCTGCGCCCCGACAAGGACAGGGGGGCAGGGAGGGGCAGGCCCCCAGGAGCAGCCAGGCGGGCTCCTCTGAGAAAGCCTGGGTGTGGTCCTGCAGGTGGGGAAGGAAGAGGGGCAGAGGGACCAGAGCCGGGGTGCCGGCCCCGCAGGGAGACGGGAGCGCGTCTGTCCCCAGGTGCCTGAAGTTGCCCTCTGCCCTCCTCATCAACCCCGGAGAGAGGACCACCCTGTAGATCAGCAGGACCAGCGCTAAGCCCTTCCTTTATTCACTCGCTGACTTGGCTGCGTCGGGCCCTAGTCGTGGCAGACCTGTCTTCGGTGTATCACGCGGGCTCTTTCATTGCAATGCTCAGGCTGTCAAGTTGCAGCGAGCTGGCTTAGTCACCCTGTGGCATGCGGGATCTTCGTTCTGCTACCAGGGATTGAACCTGCATCCTCTGCATTGCAAAAGCAGATTCTTAACCACTGGACCACCAGGGAAGTCCCCGTGCTAAGTTTTCTCGAAGTTTTTGTTGCTAGAATGACGCTGGACGGATGCCTGCCCCCGTGCAAGTCCCCGGGCAGGTCTGAGGGTCAGGGGTCGGCTCTTGCCTTCATGACGCTGGAGAGCCGCTGTGGACTGGACGTTGGAGAGAGCGCCGTCCTACTCCTCCTCGGCTCCAGAACGGCCAGCCCTGTGCTCGGCTCTCTGCCGAGCCGTGGGGTCCAGGGTGGGCATTTCCTCATTTACGGAGACAAGAGCCGGAGCGCTGAGGGGCAGAGAGTCCCGGAACGGCCGCCTTTCTCTCTGCTGATCCGCTGGCTCACACCTCCTGACCTGTGACACCCCCAATTGTTATCTAATCAATTCAGCCAAAATTAAAAAGGTGTGTTTGTATTTGCTTGAACACTCTTTCAGCCCGACGTTCGTGGCGGTGACCTTTTCATGTTGAATTCCACTGCTGATGGCATGTGGCCTGCCAGATTGCCGGGCTAATAAGTAATGAAGCACCTTGAGAGGAAGGTTCAACGGCTTGGCGGGGGCCCTGCAGCCCCCACCCACTCCTCCCAGTGTCCCAGCTCTGAGCCCAGGGACCGGCCTCCACGGGCTGCTCCCGAGCCAAGCGGCTTCTTGTTTGCTTTACTTTTAGTGCATTTGTTAGATCTGCAGGAGAGTTGACTTTTCATGTATTTTTACGGTAGTAAAATTCACATAAGATGAAATTGACCAATTTAGCCACTACAAAGTATGCAATTCAGTGACCTTATATACATTCAAGATGTGTAACCAGCATCACTGTTTCCAGGACTTTTTCACATCCAGAACAACAGATTGGTACCCATTAAATACCAGCAGCCCCTCCCCTCCCTTCCCAACCCTGGAAGGCTCTGTTGTGCTTCCGCCCCCATGAATTCCCTAATCTAGAAGCTCAGTGTAGATGGCAGATTTGCCCCCCTGTGTTTGGCGTTTTTCACTTATTGTAACATTTCCAAGGTTCAGCTGTGTCTTGGCATGACTCAGTACTTCCCAGACAGGAGGCTGGCTTCTCATATTTTCACCTCTTCTGCCACCTCCAAAAAACTTAAGAGTCACTAAAGAGAAGATGGAAATCATTTTAACACCAAACCAAAAATCCCATAGAAGATGTACTTCTTTGAAAAAAGAAAAGTCTCAGCTCTCTTTGGAGTTTGCAAAATTAAAAAGTTACTTGAAAGAAATTCCTGAAAACTAACAGCGGTTTCACCCTAATGAGTATTTCAGGGGCCAAAAAACTGGCAATCTGGCCTTGGGCTATACCATAGATCAGGACGATATCACGTGTGTTTAGTCTTTGTCATATTATTTTTTTCATAGCAGCAATTTCTATCCTAGAGTCATAGGTGTACAAAACTGGGTAACTCTACAAACTTGGTGGTGGTTTAGTTGCTCAGTTGTGTCCGACTCTGTGTGACCCATGAACTGAAGCTGCCAGGCTCCTCCGTTCATGAGATTCCCCAGGCAAGAGCACTGGGATGGGTTGCCATTTCCTCCTCCAGGGGATCTTCCTGACCCAGGGATCAAACCCAGGTCTCCTGCACTGCAGACGGATTCCTTATCGACTGAGCTACGAGGAAAGTGTACAGACTTGAGCTGACACTTGATTGAAGGCTGTAAGAAAATCTAAAATAAATTATGATAATGAGGATGGAAAGTAGCCAGTTTTTTGAAATACATATATTTTGATTTTTTTTTTAAACTTTGAGTTCAGGAAAATGAAGAAAAAGTGAAAAGTAGCTCTGTGAGAGTATCATAAGTTCTCCTGTTGACCAGATATCCTGTTTGCTTCTGACGTTCGGTTTTCTGGGTGTCTGTATCCAAAGCAGCCGCTGCATCTGCTGTCTCATGGCGTGCAGCCCAGCCTCCAAGCCCCAGCGGCGCTGAGGAAGACGCGGGAATGCGCAGCGCAGGGATGCGGTCCGCGTCCTCCTGCTCCGCCCTCCTTCGGGCTGCAGGGTCGTCAGCACAGGGCCTGGGGCTGGGCAGCTGAGGCAGGAGCGGTGAACACGCTAAGAAGGTGAGTGACCCGGAGCGGACTGTCTCACGGGGCACGTGGAACACGCTCACCTTCTCATCAAAGCACCCGGAAGACCGCGCCGCTCACAGGACGCTTGGACACAGGGACACAAGGGCCACGGCACCGGCCTTCTTCTGGGCCGCATCCGTCGATTCCCCGGGGCTGAATTTTGTGACCCTTACGGCTCTTTCAGTTCTCAGAGCTCGAGTTTCTCTCTGTTTCTGGCCATAAAGGACAATGATGGTGATGAGGGTGGTGATGGTGGTGATGGTGATGTTGATGATGATGGTGATGAGGGTGGTGATGGTGGTGATGGTGATGTTGATGATGATGGTGATGAGGGTGGTGATGGTGGTGATGGTGATGTTGATGATGATGGTGATGAGGGTGGTGATGGTGGTGATGGTGATGTTGATGATGATGGTGATGAGGGTGGTGATGGTGGTGATGGTGATGTTGATGATGATGGTCATGATGGTGGTGGTTGTGATGATGGTAATACAAATAACTTCAATTGTTTGAGTTCCTACTATACACTGGACACTACATTCTCTGTGTTCCTCATTCTCCAAGTAGAAAAGTAAGTCTGCCCCACTACGTGAGGACCCAGGTCAGCAAGAAGACGCAACCATCTTGTTCAAGGTCTCCCAGCTCAGAAGGAGCATGACTAGTTGACAGGTCTTGCTTGCTGCTTCTGAAGGCTTCAGTCTTCAGTGTTTGATGCTGGTTGCTAGAAAGACCTAACTGTGAACTTTGCTTTTTTCTCTACTATGTTCAAGAGTTACTAACTGGTCTAAAAGGCACAGGTTTTGCAACCCTGAACTCTATATTTGCTCTGTTTTGTAATAAGATTTTCCCCTTTTGCATGTATTTCTTCAGGTCTGCAGTCTATTCTTTCCAGATGCTCTTTGAACACAGCGATTTCCTGCTACCCTGGTCACTACCTCTAACTTTTTCTCTTATGTGCTTCCATGCAACGTCACCTGCCTTTCCTCCTCTGTGTCCTCACAGAGGACCGGGGCTGTCCAGTTCAAAGGGAGACCCTTCTGAAGTATTTCTATTGTTTCAGCAGAATATTTGATTCAAAATCACACAAAAATGAAGCTCTTTAATTATAGTGTTAAATACTTCTTTGAAGTGGAACAATACTTTATTTTTTCAAAAAATCTGATATACACATATATATCTCTATGATTTCCTATATATATACATATTAAATTGACTTTTTCACTCTTTGCACTGGATTTTATTGTAATCTTAGATGAGTTACATAACTCAAGATGAATGCCTCGATTTCAATGGCTTAGCTGATAAAGGCAGAAACTAGACCTTGGTGCTGGGGACAGAGGGGAGGACACTATTTGGGAGGTGCTTCTGAAGCTGAATGGATAGAACACGATTCTGTTAAAGGAAAGTAAATAGCTAATATTGCCTTAGAAACTTCTGGCTTGAGTGACTGGATATTGATGAAACAGTGTGTTTTCTGGAGCTCTGACACTCAGGATTTAAAAACCACTGTTGTCTTGGAAAGGCATGAGGAAAGCTCTTTGGGCCTGGGGACATTCCAAACCCAAACAGGGCGCCTTTCACCTGCTTGGCTATTCTTTCAGTTTGATTGGCATCGCGTCCCCTACAGCAGTTCGCGTTTGGAGAGGGTGGAGAGCTGCGCATGCTTACCTGGCCACTCCCAGCAAGAGCGGGGTGCCCCACCAGCAGCTTCCTGAGGAGAGGGGGAGTTTGCAGACCCTGGGCAGCCTTCCTCGCCTCTGCCAGGACCGTGGAGGAGCACTGATCCTTTGCAAGGATGGGCCAGGGAGAGCCCAGCTCCCCGAGGACCCTCATGTGGGGGCCCGGCGCCCAGGAGAGGTCACAGAGCCACCACTCCTACCTGCCACCACGGCAGGGCCAGCTCTGGACTGGACTCGGTGACAGAAATGCAAAAGGACAGAGAGCAGTCTGAAAAAGCGTGGACGTGTGCAGAAGCGGGGCTCACGTATCCGGTGGAGGGTGCGTGATGGCAGAGGAGCGCAAACATCAGGTGGTAACGACATTTCTGCTGGGCTCACAGGAGCAGTGTGGACGGGAAATCTCTCGAGGTGGGCAGTGGACAGAGGTGGTGGTGGCCCCTTCCCGGCCCTTGGGAGTGCTTCCTGAAGGGGAGAGTCAAAGCCCCATCTAATTCTGGCTCACCCTCCCCCATTTAAATGTTATATTTATTTAACCTATCTAATGACTATAGTTAATGTATGTATATACACGTAACTATGTGTGCATATATACAGGGAGGGCATGGCCACCCACTCCATTTTTCTTCTCTGGAGAACGCCATGGACAGAGGAGCCTGGTGGGCTATAGTCCACGGGGTCGCAAAGAGTCAGACATGACTGAGCAACTCAGGACAGACGTATAGATGCATGTATATATACAAATATCCATACATGAATAAATCTATAAATGTATATATGATGTACATATAAATAAATGCATTGTACAATGTACATCAGTTCAGTTCAGCTCAGTCATTCAGTCGTGTCCAACTCTCTGCGACCCCATGGACTGCACCACACCAGGCCTCTGTCCATCATCAACTCCCAGAGCTTACTCAAACTCACGTCCATTGAGTCGGTGATGTCATGCAACCATCTCATCCTCTGTCATCCTCTTCTCCTCCTGCTTCAATCTTTCCCAGTATCAGGGTCTTCTCTAATGATTCAGTTCTTCGCATCAGGTGGTCAAGTATTGGAGTTTCAGCTTCAGCAGCAGTCCTTCTAATGAATATTCAGGACTGATTTCCTTTAGGATGGACTCGTTGGATCTCCTTGCAGTCCAAGGAACTCTCAAGAGTCTTCTCCAGCACCACAATTTGAAAGCATAGAATCTTCAGTGCTCAGCTTTCTTTACAGTCCAAGTTCCATACATGACCACTGGAAAAACCATAGCCTTGACTAAATGGACCTTTGCTGGCAAAGTAATGTCTCTGCTTTTTAGTATGCTGTCTAGGTCGGTCATAGTTTTTCTTCCAAGGAGCAAGCAGCTTTTAATCTCATGGCTGCTTGCTCCTTGGAAGAAAAACTATGATCGACCTAGACATTATCTGCAGTGATTTTGGAGCCCCCCAAAATAAAGTCTCTCACTGTTTCCATTGTTTCCCCATCTATTTGCTATGAAGTGATGGGACAGGATGCCATGATCTTAGTTTTCTGAATGTTGACTTTTTTGGGGGGGGGGGTTTCATTAACAGGTTTATTGAAGCATAATTTATATTCAATAAAATCATTCAAAAAATCATTCAAGTATACAATTCAGTTACCTTAGTAAAACTCATTAGTGGGACAACTGCCACCAGAATCTAGTTTTAGAAAATTTCCATCACCCCATAAATTATCACAGGGACTTTTTTTTTCCCAATTCCCAGCCCTACCCTTGGTTCTAGAAAACACTTGTATGCTTTCTATAATAATAGTTGGCTTTTCCAGAATACCATATAATTGGAAATATACACTATATAGTTTTTTATGTTTATTATCTTTCACTTGATATGCTGTATTGTGGTTCTTTCATTTTCCTTGTAGTTTTCATCAGCAGTTGAATGTTGACTTTTAAGCCAACTTTTTCACTCTCCTCTTTCACTTTCATCAAGAGGCTCTTTAGTTCTTCACTTTCTGACATAACGGTGATGTCATCTGCATATCTGATGTTATTGATATCTCTCCCAGCCGTCTTGATTCCAGCTTGTGCTTCATCCAGCCTAGCATTCCTCATGATGTACTCTGCATGTAAGTTAAATAAGCAGGGTGACAATATACAGCCTTGATGCACTCCTTTCCCAATTTGGAGCCAGTCTGTTGTTCCATGTCCAGTTCTAACTGCTGCTTCGTGACCTGCATATCGATTTCTCAGAAGGCAGGTCAGGTGGCCTGATATTTCCATCTTTTAAGAATTTTCCACAGTTTGTTGTGATCCACACAGTCAAAGGCTTTGGCGTAGTCAGTAAAGCAGAAATAGATGTTTTTCTGGAACTCTCTTGCTTTTTTGATGATCCAACAGGTGACAATTTGATCTCTGGTTCCTCTGCCTTTTCTAAATCCAGCTTGAACATCTGGAAGTTCACGGTTCATATTGCTGAAGCCTGGCTAAGAGAATTTTGAGCATTACTTTGCTAGCATGTGAGATTAGTGTAAATGTGCTATAGTTTGAGCAATCTTTGACATTTCCCTTTTTGGGTTTGGAATGAAAACTGACCTTTTCCAGTCCTGTGGCCACTGCTGAGTTTTCCAAATTTGCTGGCATATTAAGTGCAGCACTTTCACAGCATCATCTTTTGGGATTTGAAATAGCTCAACTGGAATTCCATCACCTCCACTAGCTTTGTTCATAGTGATGCTTCCTAAGGACCACTTGACTTAGCATTCCACGATGTCTGGCTCTAGGTGAGTGATCACACCATCATGGTTATCTGGGTCATGAAGATCTTTTTTTGTATAGTTCTTTTATGTATTCCTGCCACCTCTTCTTAATATCTTCTGCTTCTCTTAGGTCCATAATATTTCTGTCCTTTATTGTACCCATCTTTGCATGAAAATTTCCCTTGGTATCTCTGATTTTCTTGAAGAGATCTCTAGTCTTTCCCATTCTATTGTTTTCCTCTGTTTCTTTGCATTGATCACTGAGGAAGGCTTATGTGTAGCATACATACCAATGCATAAATGTAAATATGAATACATGTGTGCATATATACTCGTGTATATATAAACACACACACACCCAGTTTTCTCCTGTGCTGTTCCACATTCTACACAAGACCTTGATTTTGCAAACTGTTCAATTTATTCTGGGACCACAGTCACCATAGCCCAGGAGGGGCTAGTCTGAGCCCGTGAGCCTCACACAGTGTAAAGGGGATGCTCCAGTGGAGTGCGTGGAACCCCCAGGAAGGCTGCACTGGACTCCTTTCGTGCCCTGGGATGGGGCCCGTTGGAGTTCTTCCAAACTGCTTTTTTTTTTAACCATCTCCCAGGAACCAGCCACCCACCACCTGTCAAAGCAGCCATCCAAGGGGCCAAGGCGCCAGCTTGTCTGAAGACACTGGGTCACAAGGGCGGATTCCTTCAGCCCCATGTTCTGTTGTCCCCGTATCTGCCTCTCCCCCTGTGAACGGCTCAGGTACACTGACTGTGAAGGAAATACCCGGGAAATGCAATGCAGTCGTGGTTTTACAATCACCATTCTATTTACACATAAACCAGTGTGAATACACGCACATGCAGGCACTGTCCACGTAGGTATGCTCTGATGATTTTGAAATTTGTTTCTGTTTAACAGGCATTTATGCTATCCACTTTGGGAGAGTCTACTGGATAGCAGACCCTGGCCAGCCTACAGCTGTGAGTGTGGGGCCTGGAAGTCGGAGGGAACAGTGATGCTGCGTGGCAGGACCCGGAGCCCGAGGACCACGTCATCTGCGCACAGCGTGCCCGAGACGCCCCAGCAGAGGCACCCACCACACCTGAGGCTCTGCCAGCAAGTGGAACTGCTCCTGTTTGGATTTATTTTGTGCCCAAGATTCCTTTTATTAGAACTGTTTTATTCTTCTGTAGATCCATCAAGTGGAAGTTAATTGGCAAAAATGTGCTTATGATGGGTTCTTCCCTGTTGTTATTCTGCATAATAAGAACTTGGTGAATTGAGAAGTGATGCAAGAAGCATTATTATTAATGAGGAAACACTTAATAGTTAAATATGGCCAGTCTGACTCGCAGTACACCCCACCTCTCCGTGATATCCACAAATACTCATTAAGGGCTCAAAAGAACACACTTGCCTTCGAATAATGCATAAAAAATGCACTGTTCTCCAAACAAAGGTGAAACTGAGAGACACAAGAATTTCCCATGAGCACTCAGGGGAGCGAGAGCTTTGGGTTTAATGATGGAGAATTAGAAGCAAGTCTGGAGGAGAAAAAGTGCGGGCATAAAAATTGCCTTGTGTTGGGAAGAAATTTGTTATTGCCCTGACGAGATTAACCGCGGTAATTGGCACTGTTTTTTTTTTTTTTTTAACATATTGCACAGCCGGGTAGAGGCAGAGGTAATAAATAATGTGCACTTAGCCGCACCATTGGTCACTGGAAGCTCTATCACAGCCGCCTCCCCCATCCGGGGAAGATAAATGTGATTTAAATTAATAGCCAGTCCTAAATAACTCCTCAGCTGGTAAACGGCGCATTTATCAGGCCCAGACAGCAGTGTCCTTTGATTCATGGCCCCCCCTACAATGTGAAGGGTGCGTACAAAAATTGTTATTACTTTTTAATAAAGTGTAGCAGTCCGTCTGCAGTCATTTATCAGAAACGGTGGCATTCTGACAAACAGAAATACCTTAGCCCAGGATGAATGAGAGGGATAAAAGGACACATTTCTCAACAAAAATAATCACCGCCTAAATTATCTCATAAAAGTCAGTTTTTAAGTACCTTGAAATAAATGTCTGCAGAAAGATACAGGCCATGCGGATTGTTGAACTAAAAACCAAACAAAGTCTTTTCAAATTCACCTCTGTCTGCGATGGCCGTCGTCCCTCTGCGGTATGGACTCAAGAGGACGTCGAGCCAGTTTAGAGAGAGGCGCCCACACCCTTCCTCCAAGCGGCCGCGCCGTAAGCCAGTAAGCCAGCGCCCGACCCGGCGGCAGGAATTAACAGTGGGCGCCATTCTTAATACACTTCTCCGGTTGAGACGGCGTGGCTGTTGCTTCTAATTCTCCTCCGGCACACATTTTTTTTTTTCCTGAACAGCAGCCCCCTTGACTGGATCTTGATTTATTCTGGGACTGATTACCTCTTCT